AACTCTTGGGCTACTCTTTTACCAACGAATTGTGGGATGGACCGTCAAATTATAACGCCCCCCTTGGTTGAAAGGTTGAGCATGTTTCGTGTGACGGGGGTTCGAACCCACGACCCTCAGATTTGGAGTCGAGCGCCCTAACCACCTGGCTATGCCGGGCTAAGGAAAAGCCAAAAAAAAAATTAATTAAAACATTTTATGTAACAAGCTTTGAAAGCAGAAATAAGGCTTTTATATACAATTTAATAGGTTTTGTTTTAAACTTCCTCAGATAAAACTTACCATCTTCCAATGTCCTACATTCCACCTTCTGGCTAAAAGGTCCTTGCTGGTTTTTTACATCGTGAGATCTCACGGAGAACTCGTACAAGGTGAATGCCGTTAGACCAGTGATGATTACGCTGTTGCTTATACTATATAAAAACACAAAAGGCCAGAAAACTTAACATTTCTCATGTAGAGTTGAGCAAATCAGAAAATTTTAACGGGAAGAATAAAGCAGAAAGAACGTGGCAGAACTATTCCATAAATTAAAACAAACCTTCTAAAAATAATGACCACGTAGGTGGGATTGATGAACAAACAGAAATGAACTAATGCTACAGGTAAAAGGTAAATTTTTTAAACAACAATAAGTGGGAAAGGAGAACTATATAAACTTACATTATCAGGAATGTAATATATGACTTTGAAATTCTTACTCCACTCACCTTTCTACAGCTACATAATAACAACAGTGTCATAAAAAATACATAAAATCACAGGTATCAAAACCTGATTTTTAGTATCATAAGCTAATCTTCTAGCGGAGACATTTTAAGACAAGTTTTTAAAAATAACTATATTACATAATCACGCATTCTGACTGTAACAAAATATCCATTTGCTTTTTGCTTGTAACGGTTGTTTTAGTTGCTACAGTATCACGAACAAATATTTTGATAGTAAATAATACCTGCGAATATAGCTGACCATTGAAGCATTAAGGAGTCCATTCATCAACGCAGGATGAAATCTTACAGTATAGTAGCTTATGTTCCTGCTGGTCATTGGTGGTTTCCACACAACCTGGACAGTAGATGGACTCTTAGGGTGAGCCTCAATAAGCTGAGGAGGTGCTACAACTGTACAAGAAACTGTTCTTGTCAGTCCGTTTTTTACTTTACGGGAGCACTAATTTACTTTTAGGTATTATAATCAAACGTTTGAGATTAAACTGATAATATGTACAGGATAATTATGAAATTACATCTGAACTCATTATATCATGTTTTAAAGGTCTATAATCAGACAATGGTATCAAGTGTAAAGTTAATTAAGTGGGAAACAACAAGTGAGAACAGCATAAGTAGTCTCTGTATCTTGGTGTTTAAAGACAAAAACTTGGTATAAGAAACTTAATATCTTTATCGGTAAAAGAAGTTATAGTAGATTAAATACAATAGCTAAAACAACAATATAACTATACAACAATGAGGGTTTGAGAATGCCTTTTTTTTTCTCTTTTTATAATATTTGTATAAATAAAGTTCATTAGCTTATGATGAAGAGGAGAAACTGGCAACCAAAAGCAATAACATCAGATGATAATAAACAAAGAAAATTACACAAAAATACCCTAAAGGCTTTGAAGGAAAAACAGAGAAACTTCACACAGGTAAAAAAAAAATAAAGAGTGTATGGAAAGAGACATTCTACAAAGGATTCGGGTGTTTTTTATGATTACTGGGGGTCCATCTGCTATGTTTCTACTTATTTAATAACAGCAATGTCTTTGATAACATACTTTCAATAATCTCCAAATCAGGATGATCTTCGGATACAGTAAGAATGTTCTGAACTGCTTCCAGTCCATCACCATACTCATTAAATCCCAGAATATGTACTTCATACCAAGTATATGGATCTAGTTTATTTGTACAAAACAATTCATCACGTTCCGATGAGTTCTCTTACTTCGTACTTTAATAGACAACAACAAAAATTATATGACAAAGAATGTAAACAAAATATAATACACTATTTTCAAGAACAAACAACACTGTTAAAACTCGTTGTTCTTATCACACCATAAGTGTTACTATCTCTATAACAGAGTTAATTAGTGAACTTTTTTTCTACAGTTATTCACAATATGCTATACAAGAAATTATAAAAAACAAAACATGAATGGAAGTAAGTATTATAGAGGGTAATAATAATAATTAATATTTTCAATATCTAGTATCTTTTCTTTTAAGCTTTTAACTTCTAAATTTAAAATATTAATGATTAAACTTAAATAAAATGAATCACTAAGTATTTTAGACATACATACCAAGGTTTGAAAGCAAGAACTCATTAACATAACTTTCAAGATTGATAGGGTCTTCTAAAGGATGCCCCTGTTCTCGATAGGAAAGACGGTAACCTTCAATTGGATATCTTGGATCCTCTGTTACCTGCCATCTTACTTGTAGCGTTGTAGCATTAATTACTGTAAGGTGTAAAGTTGGAGGCAATGGGACTAAGGAAAGAAATAAAAAATTACTCTGTAAACCTGTTAACCACCAACAAGAGACCTTTTAAAATTACTCTGTAAACCTGTTAACCACCAACAACAGACCTTTTAAAATTACTCTGTAAACCTGTTAACCACCAACAAGACCTTTTAAAATTACTCTGTAAACCTGTTAACCACCAACAAGACCTTTTAAAATTACTCTGTAAACCTGTTAACCACCAACAACAGACCTTTTAAAGGTGAGAAATTTTACTGTATATGAAGTACATACTTAACATTACACTAACTTTTATTAACATTTATTTTACATGAAGTCTACCATGATAAATTAGTTAATCCAAATAATGGTTTTTGAATCCTACAAAAAAAAAACAAGTCAGTATTTTAATAGTCATGCTTGCAATGGTAAACTTTAGTTCAAGATTAACTCTTTCAATACAGGCTCGGTTAACTTGCGTCATGAGCAGTAAAGGGGCGATAGGGTTAATCGAAGGGGCATTTTAACAGATTATAAGGAAGGAAAATTCATTACCATGAACACTGATTTACCTTTATTGTTAAGAGTTTCTGGCATTTCTTGAGTAACCCATGGCCAATTTTGTTCTGTGAGAGCAGGATATCCGACCTTGGTGACAGCAAGTACTCGAACATCATATTTCTGTTTCGGCTGAAGACCTGATTGAAAAATCAAGACAAAAATTGTCTAATACTTAGATAAAACTATGTAATTTGAAGACATAAAAATATATGACAAAATTATGTGGAGAAAAAACACTGCTACATTTATTATAAGTTCTCTAACCATTAACATTTAGCTTAATAATAAAGCCACCCAGTGAATATTAATATTAAAGACAAAAAATTCTGTAATAATAAAAAAAGCTGAATGTTTTGTAAAAAAGGTTTAAATGTCAGTTAAAAAGACGTTCTATGTATAAGCTAGATATACTGATCAACAAAAAATAACAAGGCAAAATAAATTTCAATAATAACTCCAATTTGATACAGCTTTAAGTTCACAAGCCCTGAAAAGAAGATACATATTCAAGCTAGCTAAAATATATCCAGTGCAAACGCATAACAAAATTCATCTGTTACCAATCTTAAAATATTATTTAACAAAATCAAATTTCAATTACGTTAACCCCATGTTCAAAGGTGGGGGTCAAAATGCGCAAGTCACAACCTTTTATAGAGTGCCATTCAACACATTATTAGATATTTGAAGTCAGAGTTATCAGCTAATCATTTAACCCTACATTTCTGATTTAGCAACAGTTTATGGTAGAGGAGAGTAAATACCAGATACAATATACATGGGTACTGAAAAACTGTTGATATGTATTTCAGGGGTTCAAGAAGTTATGCAAACGCAATATACAAATAACAGTGTCTTTATCTTTCGCAGGAACATTACCTTGTACTCAGACTCAACACAGTCTGAATCAAATTCATGTTGTCGTGCAAATCTTCTGACTTTTTTGTGTAGAACAAACTTGTACATTTACTAAAGGCTTACCACATTTTGTGGAGCTATACGTAGTAAATTTGGAATTATTTCTCCTCCAATATGGAATTGGTCCAATGAGATAATATTAAAATAAGGGCAGTTTCTTACATTCGTATGGGAAAAAAGAACTTGAGATACTGAATCAGAATAGTCTTACAAGAAAAAGAGTCACTAAAGCATTCCGTGAAGTTTGATAAACAGTCTTCTTTGTTACTGTTAGATTCAAGTTTTAATAAGCTTTTTTTGTTTTTTATTTCCATAAACCATTACAAGGAAATATTTCACAGAACAACTTCTGAAACAAGATTGTTTTTGATATTTACACAGTTTTACATAAAAAAATATTTGCTAAAATAATTTTAAAAAGTCATTAAACTAAACTTATCCTCAATTTTTGTTTCAGTATTTTACTTTACCTTAAAATTTTTATAATGGTTTGCTTGTTTGTTGTTAAGTGCAAAGCTACACGATGAGCTGTCAGTGCTTTGCCCACCACAGGTATCAAAACTCAATTTTTAGTGCTATAAACCCTCAGACATATTGTTGAGCTGCTGGAGGGTATTTTATATCAGAATTAAAGTAATTTCATGATCTTACACATCTAGATTTCAGACTGTGGGAATTCACAATTAATATCAACTAATTGCTGGTTTATTATATTTGTAATATTGATACGGTTTGTTTTCGGGCAAAGCTATACAATGAGTTACTTACACTCTGCCTACCTTAAGGAATTAAACTCAGGATTTTAGCATTATAAGTTTATAAACTTATTGTTGACCCACTGGGGGATTTGTTGATAAGGGTTGAATTATTAACATTTAGCAGCAACAACTTTTGATTGTTGAAAAATAATTACTGGCATTGTATTTAATTTACAGAATTACCTGTAATGGTATACTCTGTAATGTCTCCATCAACTTCAATTACATTGTTAAAGACCTGGTTGTGACGTCGATAGTGGATACGATAGCTTATTATCTTCCCTCTTGCTTTATGTGGGGGTAGAGGTTCCACAGACACACGCAGAGTAGTCGAGCTCAAGCTGGTCAATGTGATTGATGGGGCAGCAGTAGGAACTAAAAACCATTACAGACAATCAGTTATTTTGAAAGAAGCACAGAGCAAAATTGAAAAAAACAAAACAAAAACTTTATCACTTGGTCATTAAATATATTAGTGTCAGCTGAGGTTACAAGAAAATCATATTATAAACCTCTTAATAAACACATTTCCAATTATATTAGTAAAATTTAGGAAAAATGTTACTTTTAATCAATCTTCCAGCTGGTGACTCTCAGGATACAACTGACGTTAAATCCATCTGTGAAGATAAATACCCTCAAGCTGATTGATAGAGAGGATAATTTTGCTTGGTATGTATAAACTAGTTGTGTGAAGATATACAAGAGATTACCGGTCTTCTTTCTTACGTCTTATTGGATTTTAATGTAAAACACAAGATGTAGCAGAAACTACAAACTTGTAACACAAAGTATTTCAGAATCAATAAATAGGTTAGACATACGCTAAACAAGTACCCGTGGGTTTTATTTGGGAACTCGGGACTGACGTGTACTTTTAAGGAAGCTAGTAATGAAGATGTGTAATTTGTATGTAGAGTTGAAGGCTACCATAATTAAAGTAGATAAATAGAAGTGGCAGCAGGATTTCAGGAGGAGCTTAAGCTTTGACATGTAATGAACACATCAGCTAACAATGACTTTCGGGGAGTTAGAAAGATACTAGGGCTAAAAGTAGTGAATTTGATTGTAATGAGCTTAATCGATTGAGCTACAAAGTTCAGCCTTTGGCTTCTGCAGATGAGGAACTATTGGAGGAAAGGAAAACAAAAGGGACAGAGAAGGATATGGATGATAAGGAGGTTATAGTTATAGGCGATTCCTTGACAAGGCATGTGGATAGGATAATCTGTGGGGCAAACAGAAAAGAATTAGATTATGCTACCAAGGGCACAGGTGCAGGATATAACTGACAGAGCAAAATATATCATAAAGGGGGCTAACAGAGATGCAGTTTTTGTGGTGCATATAAGAGCCAATGATGTTGGAAAAAGTAGGTCAGAGGAGCTAATTAATAAGTACAAGGGGTTGATAAATAAATTAAAGAAAAAGGCCA